GAGAGAGAGAGAGAGAGTAGTGAATGGTTCCTTTTTCCTCTTTGAGTGTTTTACAACTTACGTATTGCTGGTGCTGTTTGGGGATGTCTTTAATATGCTTTATTTTGTATTTATGTCTTGCCATTTGAAATATTATGGGCTTGAGTTGCTTCTGAGATAGGACTTGCTCCTTGCTTGTAAAAGTAAAAAAAAGAAGCATATGTCTAGGTTTTTGTAAAGAACTTTGCCTGTTGAATATGTGAATCATAATGTTCATTTTATCTCTCATTTCTTCTCTGTCTCTTGAAATTATAAGCAATCGTATGCATACTCATGCTTCCTTTTTCCCAATATTTTTTCTAGATTAGTAGTTTTATTCAATGCTTTTGGTACCTTCCCTGAGTGTTTCAGATTTACGGTATTGTATTCAGGAAAGAGAAGCATCTCAGATGTATAATTTTCGTAGAAAGGGTAATAACAGCAATTGTTCTTAAAGAGTTGCTAAACCAGCTTCAAAAGTTTTCAATCTGGAAGACAACTTATATGGCTGGAAACAATTCTTGTTTGCAATCCCAAACTAGAGTTCAACAAATTAATGTTGTTGATAACTTTCGTGGAGGCATGGTAAGCTCATTTGTGGAGAGTTCAACCCCCATCGTCTTCATGTTTGTATCATGAGTACACACTTTACATAACATGTTTTTCATGGTTTTGCAGGTGAATATTATTGTTGCAACACAAATTCTTGAGGAGGGATTGGATGTTCAAAGTTGCAATCTGGTTATTAGGTATGATCCTTCAGTTACTGTGAGGAGCTTTATCCAATCCCGAGGTCGTGCACGTATGCCAGGTTCCGACTATTTATTAATTGTTGAAAGGTTTGTTGTATTCCTTCTTTATATTTTGGTTTGTTGGCTGTGAGCTTTTTGGGTGGTGTAAACCATTGTTCAAAAAATTGTTGCAAACCATTGTTCAAAGAATTGGCGTGTCAACCCAAAACTCCCTGTCTTGCCAACATGCCATGTCACCTGATGGATCCATCCAGCCTTTTTGCTCGTTTTTGGACTTTATTTCACTATAAATAGAAACTCTGAAAATAGTGTATCTACTTTCTAAATAATGCTTCTACATGATTACCCAAATATGTGTATATCCTATCCTTGATATAGGTATGTTCTCTGTATTTATCATTTTATACGATATCCAATGAGGAAATACTATACGTATATGGTGGAGTCATGCAGATCGCGGAGTCAAGTTGGGGTCATTGATTCTGGTGGGCTAATATATTGGTTGAGTGAAAGTCGTGTCCAAGTTTTCAAACAATGTTGTAAACTATAAGGAGTATTTCTACTTTTATTTTTACATCACAATTCACATATTGTTTGCTTGGTGTACTTCGAGGTTTGTGTTTGTTATAGTAGTCTACAATTCCTTTTTTTTTTTTTGTTGTTGCTAAGTTAGTGAGGTGTTTGAGCGTGTACCACGACTGTTGTATTAAAATGAGAAATAAGTCCAAAGTGTGTATACATGAAATAAAAGTAACATAAGGCGTTTCCATGAATAGGTATCCTCACTACAACACTCACTCAAAGCTCTTGGTTGAGGGAGAAGATATTTATTGATTTCTGTTGGGGAAGATATTTCTTTTGCACAGCTTCTATCTAATCTGTTGAAAGCATACATTTTTAATTTATAAGATACTTTGTAAGGTATATTTATGAAGCAGAACTTTAAGTTGGTGATATGCTTTTCTCAGGCTGATTGTTATATTCATTTTATATGCTTTTCTCAGGCTGATTGTTATATTCATTTTATATTTATAGTCCCCCATTGCTTTTGAGATCTCTGTGAATTGAAAAAAAAAAAAAACCCAAGATTTCAAGAAACATCCATAAACTTGTTCTTCATTGTTGGAACTTTTATTTAGTAATTCATCTTGTCTTGAGTATTCCATCCTCTTGTATTGGACATTTGGGCTATTGGTTTTTGTCTAGTTGTGATTGTGTTCATGTGTCAGTATGGAGTATGCCATACTCAGTTTGCTGCAGTCGGAGTTAATACACCATGGACTTGTTTATGTTTTTTTACTATTTTTACTAAATTTTTAATGATTTGAAGTTTTGAACGTGTTTCAACTTTCAAAATTCATGCATATATATTTGCATGGAAAAAGTTAGTTAGAATACATATAAATGCAAAAGATACAAAATTTCGGTACATATATGTAGTTTTTTACCTCAGTGAGTTTGAGGTTCTAGGAATTGCCAGGCCAGCTGCCTAGCGTTTTTTGAAACATTGATTTCTTGTGATTAAACTTCAGAATTTAGATAACTCATTGGGAAGTTGTGAAGAAGCGTTGATGTATACCATGCTTTTCTTTTAGTTACTCTTGCATGTTTCTTTTGTACATGAAAAATGTTGTTCCTTTCTTTGTTTTTTATTTTTATTTTTTATTTTTTCTAGTAAGGATTATGCTACATTCCGGAGGATAGACAAGTATCTTGTTAGTGGAAAAGTAATGAGAACGGAGTCTCTACGGAGGAAGTTTGATCCTGCATTGCCCATTGAAAATCCTTTGCATTCTGGTGAATATTATCGTGTTGAAACTACTGGGGCAATTGTTACACTTAACTCAAGTGTAGCTTTGATCTATCGTTATTGCTCGCAATTACCTGCTGATCGGTGAGTTTTTCTTGTTGCTGTTAGTATGGTGTTGTCTATTGTTTGTGCATCTTTGCTGGATGCATATCTTTTGTTATCTCTAGAGAAAAGAACATCTTCAACTTCATATAGTGGTTCTCATATATTGGTTTGCACGTTGGAGATCACGGTTTGAGGATTTTTGCTGCTCCTATTTTATAATTCAACTTTTTCTAGGTATTTTAAATCTTGCCCGAGATTTGATATTGATGAGGAACGTGGCTTTTGCATCTTGCGGCTTCCTAAAAGTTGCCCAATTCCACCAGTTAAGGTACATGGGCAAACTGATGTGTTGAAACAGAGTGCATGTCTTGTCGCATGTAAGAGGCTTCATGAAGTTGGTGCTCTGACGGATTATCTATTACCTTTGACTGAAGATGCAGAGGATGATGCTTCTATGGGAAGTGGTATGGTTTTTGTTGAATAGCTTTGTTGTGTTATTCCTATATCATTGTTATTTCTGTTTTCTAGTTACTTTATATTATTTGTTATTTTTTTGGCAACCTATTTTGAAGATATGTAATCCTTACGTGGTATTTAGCTTTCCTCATTTTTTCTTGAGAAAATCCCTTATCTGTTTGTAGGGGAATAAGGTAGTTATATTTCATCACTAAAAATTGCATAATTAGTAATGGTCTTATGTATCTATTCACAGGAGGAGAACCGTGTGAAGAGTTTCATGCCATGTATTTCCCCCAAGAATTAATTGGGCACTTGAAGAAAGGTTGCGGCAAGGAATTGTATGATTGCTACTCCATTACCTTACATAGCAATGTTGATCATGGTTGGGAGTTCAGAAGTCTTCTACTTATGGTTAAATGTAACCTGGGTTATGATTTCGAGCAGTTGAGTTTTGTGATGGGACCAAATCAAGTTTCAGTTGCTGTGAACATGGGATATGCTGGTACCCGTGAACTTGATGTAGAACAGGTCAGTGGATGTAACTTCATGTTTATGGTTTGTGTTTGAAATTTTAGAGTTGTCATTTATTCATTTCAATCTTTTATTTTTCTTTATTTTTAATTTTTATTCTTTTCAGGTTCTCATGGCTAGGCGTTTTCAAACCACGATTTTTAAAATTCTTATAACCGGAAATGTAAGCGAAATGAGAGAGTCATTAGAAAGACTTAATCAAGGGGAAACTTGTTGCACTCAAATCGAATATTTACTGCTACCATCTATTGGTTCTGGATTTACGTCATCTCAAATTGATTGGGATAGTGTTCGGTCAGCCTCAGCCCTAAATCCAGACCGTGCAAAAAATTATCAAAAATGTCATTGTTCTCCTAAAAGCAATGCTCATTTTGTACGACTCACAAATGGTACTTCTTGTGATTGCTTGCTGAGGAATTCATTGGTTTTAACACCACATAATGGAAAGATTTACTACATTAGTAGTATTTTGCATGATATGGATGGGAACTCTCCCATGAAACAAGATCGAAAGCATGGAGCGCCACGTACCTATAAGGAGTACTTTAAATGGAGGTGAGCTTCTGCAAACGTTGTGGAGGTCTAGATCCCAAATGTTTATCCTTTCCATTTTATGCTTCCTTGTCGATTTGTGTGCTTCACAGGCATGATATTTTGTTGCAACATGAGATGGAACCTTTGCTTCTTGGAAGGCACCTTTTTAAGGTCCAGAATTGGCTTTTGAAGCACCCCTGTAAAGTAGGGACAGGTATGTCATTTTCAAACTTGTTTCAAAATGTGTCATCATTTTAAATCATTTCACATTTATGCTCTTGTATTTGATAGGGCTGGCAATGTCCCGGCCCGGGCCAAGGAGGCCTTGGCCCTATCAGGGCTAGGCCGGGCTAATAAAAAACTTTTAAAACATAAAGGAAATAAGGGCCAAGCAATGTCAAACCGTATCGGCCGTGTCTTGGCCCTGGCTGAGGACCAGCCTGGCCCGTCCCTGGCCTGGCCACATTTTGTGGCCCAGGCCCTAATTTTTCAGGGCGAGAACTACCGGGCGAGGCCGGGCCACCAGGCCCATTGCCACCCTTAGTATTTTTTTTCGTTTTTACTTATATTTTTTCTGGAACTATTTTAATGGAAGAACTCAAACCTTCATATTGCCACCAGTAACTTATCATTGACTACAACTATTGTCCTTACTGGAGCAATAGAGCTGTAAATGGGAATTATCTTCCCACTCAGCCAAGAAAGCATAATTATGTGGATGTACAACCCCATTGTTAAAGGAACACAATAGGCATTTGCTCTCTCTTGAAGCCACATATTTTGAATTAGCAAAGTGCTTATCGGTCACATTCGTATTATTTGTTGTGCGCAAGTCATATCTTACAGTTAGTTTCTTCCTTTGACCAATCACCATATCAGTGTGGTATTCAAGGGCTCTAAAGCCTGATCTTCCGTGGGTGGTTCTACCTTCTACGTACTATCTTCCCCAAGATTGCATTTTCATGTGTAGGTTGGGGGAGCTTGGCATGTAATACACCATTTAGCGAGTAGAATGTTGTTAGAGCTGTTTGGTGTTGATGGTTGACTCATGTTCTTCCTGCATGGTGGTACTGTTCATATATTCCACATTTGTGCATGCCTTTTGTGATATCTTCTCTTTTTTATGTCCTGGTGAGCACAAAATGTTTTCTTGTTGTGGGTTTCATATACGCACATATGTCTCACTGTGAGAAAATATGTTTAACAATTTAACCGATTCCCTTGTTTCATAATTGCTATAACATTGTCATGCGTTGTGGGAGTATCAGCATGTGGGAAGTTTATTGAGAGGGAGATGTCAAGTGATTCTTTACTGCACAGGATGTATCCTCTGTCCCAAACTTCTCAATGAGCTGCATCGCTGCGGTTGAGATGTGCCCTGTACTGAAAATCAGTGGCCAGAAAGAACATAAGTTATTATGAACTACAAAGGAATGCTGATTAATTTACATGCTCTAAAAGAGATCATTCGTGTCTTTATTTTCTCTTGTTTATTTTTGTTATGTTTGTCATCTCATATGCATAGATGTAGTCTTTGTCTCTTTACATGTGGTCCTCTTCTGATATGATCCCCCTATTGGGCATTTGGAATCTCTCTGCTTTTAATGACTAACATGTGATATATTGCAAATCAGAACTTTGAGCCTTCTCTTTCATGGGTTGAATTCCTCTTCCATGTGCTTTTATTGTTTTGCATTTTGTCTATTTTTCATCCTGAAATTATTATCTTTATCATTTTCTCTTTTTGGCAGAAGCAATTAATGCAACTGTAGAGTTGCCTCCAGAACTATGTTGTATCATTATGTTCCCCATATCTATTTCCACCATTTATACATTTTCACTTGTTCCATCTATCATGCATCGGATAGAGGCCTTTCTCCTTGCAGCTCAGTTGAAAAGGACTATTGTGGGTCAACATGCTAGAGATCTCAATATTCCCATAATAAAGGTTTTTCACCTTTTTCTGTTACCAAATAGAAGTGTGGAACATCTATTACTGATTTTTTATCTGTCAATTATTCCTTATTAAGACTTTTGGTTTGTTGGATTTCTCCATTTAATTCAGCATGGTTGGTTTCTCATTGGCAGCTACTCTTACCTAAGAAAGGCAGATGTTTTCTCGGCATTCTATTTGCACACATTTGATATTTGATTTTTATTATTCTATTGCATGATTGTTGTGTCCATATCATTATTAGTGATGCCAAATCAGCTAAAAAATAACTATTAGACTATTATGCTTTTGGTTTCTGATGTGCTTGAAGACTATATGCAAATTGAAGTTCTTCCAGGATGAATTAAGTTGTATATTGTTGGTTAGTTACAGTAGTTTCTCATTATGCTGGTATATGGGAATGGATTTGCAATGTTTTGAAACTGTCCTTGGATTCATTTATTGAACAGTTCTCATTCAGAGTAGTAGAAAACTCTCCTAGGATTCATGTATTGAGCAGTTCTCATTCAGAATAGTAGAAACCCGCTCCTGTATGCTTGAAATTATTTTGGAAAATCAATCATTGAAAATCCATGTACTTTTATTTTCGTCAATTGTGTTCATTTTGCTGAGTGCTTTGAATTTGTCACTGAGGAACTATGGGTTAGTGTCATCTCTGTCATGTTTCCCTTCCTAAGGATCAGGCTTTCATTACAGTGGTTTGCTCAAGGGACTATTGATAATATATGCTTTTCCTAGTCGCTTCAGAAGGGTACTTAGACTTTCTGAATAAATCAGTGGACATTTCAGTTAGTACAATGTAACCACTCCCCCCCCCAACCCTCCACCTGGTACCTTGCATGTTGTATAGGGTCATCTTTTGTTTAGTGCTCAACAAAAGAACTTCTCAGTTGTTTAAATCTATCAGCATAGTGTCGACTTTCTTTCTTTCTTTTTCTAAAGGGGCATTCTCCACTTTCTAAGTCCTCTTTTGTTTAGCATGCTTGCATTGCTGACTTTAATTAGCTTTATCATTCTTTTCCTGCCATATTAAGGGATTAGTTTTTCTCTCTTAAATTCTGATTTTGCCAATCCCTTGTGGAATCGTAGAAGTTGGAGAGTGAGGGGTGGGTTGCTGGAATGTGTCAGTGTTGAGTTGCTTTCAAATGATCAAAAGATATACTTCAAAACACAGTGCCTTCTCCATGCTAGTATCGTCATAACAAGTGCTTTCACTTTTTTTCGTTTTTATAAAATTGTTAAAAGAAATGTGAGCTCCTCCAGTAGATGTTGGTTGGCGACCACAGGCAGCAGATATTCATGATAATTCTCTTTGCAATAATTCTCTTTGCAAGCTGCGAATGTACTACTTTTCCAAGTAACCATAGAAAACATTTGTTAAATAAAAAGTGAGAGAGTGAGAGGGAACAAGGAAATGTTGACTTATATACAATTTGGACTTATATGCAATTATACTATAATAGCCATGCCCGTTAATACTGTAAAATAGCATGAATACCCTTAGTAAGAAACCTATATAAAATGATGAGTCTTCCCTTTTTTTTGCTGGGACTCCTCTTTAAGTGTTGCACTATGGTCAAGCATGCACTTGTGACTTATGCAACATATGACTTTAGTAAACAAATCAATTGATGCTTAGAGGAAATAATGTATGAGGTACAGAGAAACAGACATAGCCATGTAGGAGCTTCTCTTGGATGAATCAATGAAGTTGCAGGTGACCTCAATATGATGGTGACTTTCCTGGAAAGGTGCACTGAGATCATCTGTGCAGAGAAGTAGTGGAGAAAAAGGAGATTAAGAAGTTTGGTTCCAAATGTAATGAAGTAGAGAGTTGTGTTTTTAGCAAGGTATCTGGAAACTCAACTGTGGTCATTGCATATATGTAGATGACATTGATCTTTGTACCATTCTTGGAAAGTGTGAAACCAAAGTCTTATTGACAAATCTTTGACATAAAAAACATGTCCAGTTGATACAGAATAATTATTTTTAGTCAATCTCATTACAATAAGAAGATACTAAGAAAATTTAACCATCTTGAGTGCAGATCCAGCATTACTACTATAGACCACAGAACGACTGGGTTGTAATAAAGGTTATTTTGTTGCTAAAAAAAAGTATGCAAGAATCATAGGAAGTCTCCTGTATGCAATGATTTGTACAAGGACTGATAAGTGCATGCAGTAGGTAAATTGAGTAGATTTTACCAGTAATCCATGCCACGAGAGTTGGAAAGAGTTAAGTAGAGCACTTAGATACTTAAAGGGAACCATTAAATATGGTTTGGATTATCAAGGTGCAACACATGTTCTAGATAACTATGTGATGCTGATTGGGTATCAAAGAATATGCATTCTAGATCTACTAGCCAATGGTTGTTTAACCCCTTTATGCAAATTGTCTCATTTCACATGAATGACATTGCTCTATAATCTGCACAAGTGTTAGCGTCGTGGCATGGGAAAGTAATTAGTGGCATGAAGTTAAGAAAAATGATCATGAGAAAGTTTCTTGGAATAAATATTATGCATGTACCAAGTGTTAATAGTCTTGAAAGAGAATGAAGATTATTCTAGTACTTGCAACAAATTTGAAAATTCTTTGGCAAGGCTTGGATTTGCAAGATTATTTATAAGATGTTCCTCATCATGATGTTTCTATACTGATATTAATGTTGCCTGCAAGGGTCTGCTGCAAATGTGATGTAGGAGAACTTGAAGAAATAGAAAAATCAGCAAGAAGCACACAATTTTGGAGAAACCCTATGGTTTTCTCCCACCTGGAGCTCAAGCCTTAGGCTTCTCATATAAGACAGTCTTTCTTTTCTTAAAGAAGAATACATGAATGACTATCCAGCCCATTCATGCCTTTATTTATAATGAAAAATTATTGTTTTGGATAATATTTGTTCATACAATTTAACTTTTGATCAAAAGGTCCAAACTTAAATATAATTTGAAACGAAACTCCCTAACTTTAATTAAAATATCTATAAAGTCCCTAGAATTCCTAAAAACTAAAAAAACCTTAGAATTACACCCTAAAACGAAATCAAAATATGCATCCTTTCAAATTGAATAGAAATTAAAAATAAATGTATTTTTTTCCTCCATCAACTCTTATCATTTTCTCAGAACTCCGTTTTTCCAATACTTAATGACATTGTATTCATTTGTTTTTATGTTTCTTGATAAATCTTCACGTGCTATTTCTAATAATAATTACCTTGCCTGTTGTTGTGAGGTGTTATTACTCCAATTTTCTCTTAGGATGTATTCATACAATTTTATGCATTTTGCATGGTATGGATCAGTTTGTTATCAATGATATTGTTGCGACATGTCATAAGCAATCGTCTATTAGTTGCTCATCATTTTGTAAAAGCATGTTCAGGATGTTATTACTTATTTTATTGGTAAATAATTTGTTCTTTGCTCTCTTGCTGTATGCTCTCTGTGTTTCAAATGTATGTCTGAAGACTGGAATCCATTTACTTAACTTTGTTGCTTAAGAAAGTTGATATTCTAGTTTCCAGATTGATCTCTGTGTCCTTTCAAACAGGTATTGGAATGTCTTACGACTAAGAAATGCCAAGAAGAATTCTCTTTGGAGTCTTTGGAGACTCTTGGTGATTCTTTTTTAAAGTCTGTGGCGTGTCAACATTTATTTATGACTTATGAAAACCATCACGAGGGCCTTCTCAGTTCAAAAAAGGACAAGATGGTTTCAAATGCTACCCTTTACAGGCTTGGATGTGATCGTGAGCTATCGGTACTCATTTTTATTATCTTGCATAAAAGTTCTGAATCATAATATCTGTTTACTGCAGCTTGTATATTCATTTCAATGTTTTCACAAAAGTCTATTATTATGCTTCATAATTTTCAGATGATGTTCAAATAGCTGTATCGAGTAACTTTCAATATTGTGAATTTCAAGAATATGGAAAGTTGGGGAAGTTTGTGACTTTGTGTATTGAAATGAGTTTTCATTTTGTATTGGAGTGCTTGATAAGATCCTCTTTCTCTTGAATGTTTTTGGATTTTTGGTTGATTCGTACTCACTTTTTCCAAAACAAGTCTTGGATTCACAAGCCCCTTAATTTATTAGTTATTATTTTATTTTGATTGTGACATGTGACTGTTTCCTTAGACCTATATGTGGCTTCCATGGGGAGCTGGTAGCCCCATGGGAACATCAAGTTGACCTTAGGTGGGTGAATCTGAAAGTGTGTTGTGCAACAAGAGCCAGAGGCACTAGTAGCCTTCACAGGCTATTCTCATTATATGTTCAGCATAGAGTTACAATTGGACAAAAGTCACAAAACTGTCTTCATATGAACTTGTGAATTAATAAGCCTTAAAAGATGAAAGATTTGGCTGAAATACCTTTACAGTTCAGTCAGACCAACAATGGCATTTACTCAAATTTCTCTTGCTGAAAAATATCTCCTTATGTTATTTTGTTATGTTGTAAAATTCCTATATAGAATTTATGATCATGCTTTCACCAATTAAGGTTCCCTTGCAAGTCTTATACCCTTGAGTTTGGATCCAATTGGTTAATATTCAACTGTTGAGTTGTAGTGCGATATTTGCTTTAACAAATTGTGTTGGGGAACTATGAATTATCAAAATGTAATTGGGTAATTGAATTGTGCCTTTATTTATGATGCTTTCTAACATTTGTATAGAAGATTCTTAAGAAACAACTGCTTTGAGGTCTATACTATGGTTATGAATTATCAAAATGTAATTGGGTGATTGAATTGTGCCTTTATTTATGATGCTTTCTAACATTTGTATAGAAGATTCTTAAGAAACAACTGCTTTGAGGTCTATACTATGGTTATGAATTATCAAAATGTAATTGGGTGATTGAATTGTGCCTTTATTTATGATGCTTTCTAACATTTGTATAGAAGATTCTTAAGAAACAACTGCTTTGAGGTCTATACTACGGTTCTGCTATGCCAACCACTGTTTCATAACAATTATGCTCTCTCCTATTGTAATTTGGTTGTTATTGTTTATCTTCTCAGGGTTATATCAGGAATGAATCTTTTGATCCTCAAACTTGGAGTAGTCCTGGTGATTGTTTACCTACTAATAAGGACCACAAAAGCTTTTCCTTGTCTTCCAAGAAAACGTATGTTAAGGGACAGAAGAAATTCAAGGCCAAAGTAGTTGCTGATGTTGTGGAGGCATTAATTGGCGCATTCCTTAGTACAAATGGTGAGCAAGCTGCATTACTTTTTATGGATTGGATGGGTATAAAGGTTGATATTTTCAAGGATCCATTGATTGAGAGGCCACATCTTCTGCAACCTGAGAGATTTGTGAATGTTAGTCTCATTGAGACGCTCTTGAAATACAAATTTCATGACTGTTCATTATTGGTGGAGGCATTAACTCACGGATCATATCAAGTTGAAGATACTCTAGCAAGTTATCAGGTTTGAAGCGTCAGAACATCCTGCTGCATTAATTTTTTATGACTGGTGTCTTCTCTTTGATTGAAAATATTGTTTTCTAAAACTCATAAAACACATTCTTGTCCCCCCAATCCTTCGAGATTTGGGAGCAATAGGCCTGTTTATTTCTTGGTGTTTTCATCACCTTCTCTTGCATTGATTAGAATTTCTTGGTTTTATAATTGGACCTGGTTTCTATGCGGCCAAGCCCGCATATGTAAAAATGTGAGCCTCTTATTAAATCAATTTTTTAGATGGATTTTAAGACTTAATTTTTAAGGACATGTAATCTCTAACATGGGGATCATGAATATAAAAAAATAAATAAATTTTAAAAACTAAAAATAATAATTCTAGTAAGAAAACATTTGGACCGTTAGTTTCCATTGTTTTTAGATGAAACACCTGTTTTTAGTTTCCATTGTATATCTAAATGAACAGGTATACAGATAGATACATAAGAAAGATTATGATGACATAATGATATACCAAGAAAGAAGTTCAGATACCATTAAAAGAGATGTAAAATACCTGGAAGGGATTTACGTGAAACATGGATTGAAGCACAAAAGGTAAAGCAGAAGGGAAACACACCAAAGCAGAAGAGCACACCACGACTAAACTAGGCTGAGAGGCTCAGAAGAGCTCCTGCCTTCAAGATTGAACCTACATGGCCATATATAGGCCTCGGATTTCAAATCCGGACTCCAAAATTAAAATAACAAACCTAAGTGTCCGACAAGATCACATGGATCCATGTGGGTACAGTGTAAAGTTACTGACATGAACAGTGACATAAAGTGGGTACAGTGTAAAGTTGCCGACATGAACAGTGACATAAAATGGGTACAGTGTAAAGTAGCAGACATGAACAATGACATAAAGTGGGTACAATGTAAAGTTGCCAACATGATTGCTGTCATGAACAGTGACAGCATCCTTATCTTCTCAGTCTGTATCGTAGGCTAGGGGTAAGCCATCTGAGTCATAGCTAGGAGAAGAGTGGTTGGAGGGACTGTGAGAGGGTCCGGTGTAAGAATCATCACTAGAGCTGGTGCTTGGCTATCCTTCTGGGGGAGGAGGATTATCAGCTAGCCATAGATGTAATTGATGAAGGAGTTCAGCTCCGAGAGGGGTCTCATCATTCCATATTGTTATTCCTGAAAGCACATCCAAAGGAATCCATTCTAGCTGGATTCTGTTAATGTAGCACATAATATTTTTCAATTCTTTCCAAAGATCAGTCTGAAACATCAAAAAATTTAGGAGATTAGAATCATATCATCCAATGGTCTGGATATGGGGATGTTGGGTAATGAAGGCATGGTCAGGATAATTCTGTGGTTTCAGATCTTGATTAAAGGCTATAATGATATACGGTTTGTGGTAATAATCAAAAGATTCAGTCCATTGATTATAATGGTAATGCTTTAAGAGAAATTTGTAAAAGTTGAAAGCTCTTGGGTTAGGGTGGATATAATTATTCCATTGTAAGAAATGGCAATGTCTTAAGTAAGACAATAGTTTTCTTACATGAAAATTGAAACAAATATGGTTGTTTTGGGTAAGATACCAAAAGAAACACATGGCTTCTTTAGGCATGTTGTAATAATGTCTGGTTTGGAATAGGGAGAGAAATGGATAATTAGGATGGCATCGAATTCCTTGAAAACATTCTCCATGGTTTTTGACTAAAATCTTATGCATTTTTTGTTGCATAAATTCATTTCGTGCTTCTATTGTTTTGTTGAGAATGATGTCAAAAATTTCTTTAGGAATTTCTCTTGGTTCATCTTCTTCAATCTTGATGATGGGTCCCATGAAAGGGACTATTTGAAAAGAATTTTCTTCTGGTTTTCGTCTTTTGGAAAACATAGCTGCTAAAATATTGTTTTTTCCAAGAATATGTTTGACTTCAAAGTTCCATTAGGAAAACCAGTTTACCTATCTGAGTAATTGAGGATTTGGAAGAATTTTGTTTTTGAATTTCAGCATATTTGGAAAACTCGGCATATCCATCTCTACAAGAAAAGAATGTCCTATGAGATGAAATTGGAAATTTTCAATTCCTCTTTTTACAGCAAGGATTTCTTTAAATGTGGAGTGGTAATGTTGTTTTGACTCTTTGAACTTTCCACTTTTGTATCCACAAATCATTCTATCTTTCTCTTTTTGTTCAAGCAAAATACAAGCCCAATATTCATCAGAAGCATCTGTCTGTAGAATCTGTTTTCCATTACAAGGGATTTTCAAGGGAGGAAGATTTTGAGATAAATCTTTGAGCTTAAGAACACACTCAGTTTGTTTGTTAGTCCATGGTGGTGCTTTCTTTTTCAGTAGGAGATAAAGAGGACTAGTGAAAGAGAAAGTCTAGGAATAAAGGGGACATATAATTTACAATTCCTAAAAACTGTTGAATTTGTTTAACAGTAGGAAGCACATTAGGGAATTCCAAAACAATGGAAGCACGAAATGAATTTATGCAACAAAAAATGCATAAGATGTTAGTCAGAAACCATGGAGAATGTTTTCAAGGAATTCGATGCCATCTTAATTATCCATTTCTCTCCCTATTCCAAACCAGACATTATTACAACATGCCTAAAGAAGCCATGTGTTTCTTTTGGTATCTTACCCAAAACAACCATATTTGTTTCAATTTTCATGTAAGAAAACTATTGTCTTACTTAAGACATTGTCATTTCTTACAATGGAATAATTATATCCACCCTAACCCAAGAGCTTTCAACTTTTACAAATTTCTCTTAAAGCATTACCATTATAATCAATGGACTGAATCTTTTGATTATTACCACAAACCCTATATCATTATAGCCTTTCATCAAGATCTGAAACCACAGAATTATCCTGACCATGCCTTCATTACCCAACATCCCCATATCCAGACCATTGGATGGTATGATTCTAATCTCCTAAATTTTTGGATGTTTCAGACTGATCTTTGGAAAGAATTGAAAAATATTATGTGCTACATTAACAAAATCCAGCCATAATGGATTCTTTTGGATGTGTTTTCAAGAATAACAATATGGAATGATGAGACCCCTCTCGAAGTTGAACTCCTTCATCAATTACATCTATGGCTAGCTGATAATCCTCCTCCCCCAGATGGACAGCCAAGCACCAGCTCTAGTGATGATTCTTGCACCGGACCCTCTCACAGTCCCTCCAACCACTCTTCTCCTAGCTATGACTCAAATGGCTTACCCCTAGCCTACGATACAGACTGAGAAGATAAGGATGCTGACTGAGAAGATAAGGATGCTGTCGCTATGAGAAGATAAGGATGTTGTCACTGTTCATGACAGCAATCATGTCAGCAACTTTACACTATACCCACTTTATGTCATTGTTCATGTCTGCTACTTTACACTGTACCCACTTTATGTCACTGTTCATGTCGGCAACTTTACACTATACCCACTTTATGTCACTGTTCATGTCAGTAACTTTACACTGTACCCACATGGATCCATGTGATCTTGTCGGCCACTTAGGTTTGTTATTTTAATTTTGGAGTCCGGATTTGAAATCCGATGCCTATATAAGGCCATGTAGGTTCAATCTTGAAGCCAGGAGCTCTTCTAAGCCTCTCAGCCTAGTTTAGTCGTGGTGTTCTTCTGCTTTGGTGTGTTTCCCTTCTGCTTTACCTTTTGTGCTTCAATCCTTGTTTCATGTAAATCCCTTCCAGGTATGTTACATCTCTTTTAATGGTATCTGAACTTCTTTCTTGGTATATCATTATGTCATTATAATCTTTCTTATGTATCTATCTGTATACCTGTATGAAACAATTTTCCTTTATAATTCTATTAATAGCTTGTTTGTTTGGACTTCTCATTTCGGTGATGATTATAATGCTAGGCATAATTTTCCTGCGTCGTACTTAAAATATAATTTCTAGCCTTGTATTAAAATTCAAATTTTCTTCTTGCTTTGCAGCGATTAGAGTTCCTTGGAGACTCAGTTTTGGATTACCTACTTACTAAACACTTCTACAACATGTATCCGAGAATATCTCCACAATTATTAACAGATCTCAGGTCTGCTTCTGTGAATAATTATTGTTATGCACATGTAGCAGTTAAAGCTGGTTTGCATAAGCACATTCTCTATGCATCAAGTGAGCTGCACTCACAAATTGCATCCTCTATTAAGTGCATAAAGGACCTATCTCTTTCAGCATCAATGTTTGGGTGGGAAGCTGATACAGAATTTCCCAAGGCAAGTTTCCTGTCCCCTTTCTCTAATGTTTTATGCTTGTGGTTGTTGAACATTATAATCCAGTCACATACGGGTTTGCATTCTCTTTGTGGCTGTTTCATGTTTTCAGGTCTGAATATTTGCTGTAGAAAAAAAATTTATAATGGTGTCTAGTGGGGATTTTTCCCAATTTCTTTTTCTAGTGTTCTCTACGTCAAGAACTGTTCTTATTCCACCTGTCGGTGCTAATTGTTCTCTTGAGTATTTCCAATCCACATTATTAACTTTTGGGGTTTCATTACTTTGCTTGATACCTTGGATGAGGGCCTATAATATACCTGACACTTCCGAACAAGTTGATATGCCAAAAAAAGTAAATGACCTTATTGGGAATGCCCTTTGATATTTCTATACTTTGACTTCAACTAGGTGTTATACGTGTACTAATGAGGTGCTTCCAATAAGATGATACTGGACAAGGGAGGATTGTCAGTTGCCAGAAATTCCCTTCTTTGATATTGCCTGGAGTTCTGATATACATGCAGTATCAAAGTCAGAAATTAGTTTGTTCGAAAGGCTGCTTTCTATGGTAGCTTTCTCTTTCCAGAGTGCTTACAGGAAGGAAACTTGTAAAACTAATCACAAAGCAAAACACTGCCCAAGTGGTTGCTTCTCCTGAGCTTGGATGCATTGATGTCAAGATGAACTTAATCAGTTCCTCAACAATGCAGCTAATGGTATCTTTCGTCTGTTGATAGTGGTGCTGATTCTCAATAACGTAGTCATTCTGAACTTCGAAGTTTACAATGATTCCCTTGTAATCCCCCTTTTGACAAATAGTTAGAAAGATCACAGCCCCTTAGATTTGCCACATATCGTAGTTAACGACATCAATCGTGTGTGTGTGTCTGTGCATTGATTGATTTCTTTTTATGTGGTTACCTTGCTTTCTTGGTAGTTATGTTTCAATCAAACATTTTTTACCACTATGATTATCATACATTATCTTGTTTTTGTTCTGTAAATTTTCATGACAATTATTAGGTTATATGCATATATTGTATTAGAAAGGTACTTCGGCCATATGGTCCGAGAGCAACACAATTAATGTGCTTTAATTCATATTCATCTCCTTGTAATAATTATTAGTCAACAAATATAGTTTTCTTTCTACTTCCTTGCAAGTCTCATACAGAAGAATTTGGGTTCTTACAGGTGCTTGGAGATGTAATCGAATCAATAGCTGGGGCCATTCTGGTTGATTCTGGCTTTAACAAGGAGGTAGTCTGGAGAAGCATTAGACCTATATTAGAACCATTGGTCACTCTAGAAACAGTGAAGATCGAACCCGTGAGGGAGCTTGAAGAACTCTGTTCGAAAAGATCATATAAGAAGGAAAAGTCATTTTCAGTTGCAGATGGTTTGACTTATGCTACATTCACTGTGAAAGTGGATGGAGTGTCCTATAGCAATACTTGCTCTGCAAGAAACAGAAAGATGGCAAAAAAATTTGCTGCAAAAGCATTACTGGAGACTATGAAGGCCAGTATTCCTGGACTCTGACCCTGCTATTGCTTGTGCAGTGAAAAATAAACCACTTTGCTGTTTTGCTAAGAATTTATGTGATTATGTTTTTTGGTGGATCTGTGGGAAAATTCAGCGGTGGGTTTTGAATCTCGAGGTTTTATTACAGTTGCGAACACCTAAATTGTCGAGCTAGATCCCCAAATCCAGTCATCTAGTGGTTTATTCTAGTCAACTTGTGGATCATTTTACAAGGGGAAGTCCTTGCAGATGTGCAGATTGCGTTTTGATTTGTCCTTTTGTTCCGAACCATCCATCCAGATCAAGAATCAGTGCTAGGGCTGGATGGGGTGTCCCTCGCAACAATATACAGGTTTTGTGAAGCTTTTTTGCTATATATGCAATAAATGTTATTTGTTGGGTGGTTTTTGGGGCCAGGTATCCAGCCCCATGTAAAGAAAAAGTGTGTATCTTCGTTTAATGAGCAATAGAAAGTCTTTGTCTAATATTGTTTTTGCTAAGTTGTCCATAGGTTCTGCATCCTAGTCTAGTTGAATCTATCATTGTTGTTTGACATTATGTAATGCATTGCTCAAACCATCAAAAGAAAATCCGAAGTAGTGCCGGGAGACGTGTTGAATCTAGAGGTTGTATGTCTTTCTCCAACAAGGGCTTCGGAAAATTATTTATTGGGATTATATACAATGAGACCGTAGTCTTCCATACACAAAGGCCACAAAAACATAGGAATTGGGCTTGGGCAAGTGCGTGGCAGTTGACACTGAGCAAAGCTACATCTCGAGTTCAATTCCTATTGGTGAACTACCTGAAAAAAAGAAGTCCCGGAAACATTAGATTATTGGATGTAAAATTGAGCAATTGGGATGTATCATTTCTCAACTCAGTCTGAAGAAAATTGTTCTGTTTTGATCTTTTGCTATAGTGCTATAAGATTTAGCGCCGCATAACATGCACATCTAGCAATTTGAGCAAAGTTTAGAAGTTTGCTTGGAAGTATTCGTAGCAGAGATATTCTACGAAAACAAGAAGGCTGCTCATTTCCGCATTATTGACTGGGGCCTCCAAAACCAATTAGGAGCTGCTAGGCGATTATTCCATGGACTTTTAGATTGCTTAAAACTTCCACTTCTAGAGAGTTTCTTGATTACTCTCATGGTTCTCTTTCTATTAGTTGTGTAGTGGTAAGAAAGATGAGGTTGATCGATAGTGTTATTCAATCGAGAGAGCAAGTTTAAAAAAAAATATCAATGAGGTCTTTGCTAATGTTAAAAGAGAGAGATCTCTTGTAACCCAAATTGCAATGTTTATTGTGATAGCAGATTTCTCCTTCATGGTCAATCCCAAGCCTAGATAAGCCCAGATAACAGAGGGTCATGTTAGGTTAAGGCAGCTAGTATAAAGCTTTTGTTACATTTTTTTTCATCAATCCTAAATCTAAGTTATATTCTTATGCTGGAGCATTCCTTGTAAACCACATGTTTGATTGCAGATAGGGCCTTTGATATAACATAGCAACATAATAGATTGTGTTTCCGATACCAAATAGTTAGAATAAGACGTGAATGATGACGGTAATTGTGATAGTGGATTCTACTTATTGAAACCGTGGGTATAGCCTTTTAAAGACCCAACAAGACGATTATTAGGACCCAAAATTTTGTAAAAATTCAAATTTGAGGTTTTAAATTTGTAGATCTTATCCTCCCATGTATCGGCAGTCTAATGTTGTAGTTAGAGTAGAATGCTGTCCAAGGAAAAAACCGTATTTGGGCCTTCCACCAATGCTCCAGAAAAGGACAGCTCCATCCGCATAAGATTTCCTTCAAGAAGCTAATATTAACATGCAAACAAACACTTTTATCACTTAGCCACACGTCAAACTTGGTTATTATGCGGTGAAAAGTAACAGCAAAAACAGTCATAATTTGGAAAATCTTGTTAGGAGTGAATAACAGAAATGGGGAGTGATTTATCTTTCTGTTGCATATCCTAAACCTCGCTGCTTAGAGAGCTAAAAGACCCAAAAGACTGGCATGTGCCGGTAAAAGAAACGTATCCAATGAGACCTCTATCTTTAGTGAAACGTATCCAATGAAATTAGATTAAGAAATTAGATTAATCTTGACTATTGGATGTGAAATTAAATGGTTACATTTCTTCCATTGATCAAGCTCAAACTTTAGAAGAAATTTTCTCGAACTTTGTGACACATCCATACTATCCGATTTCATATTGAATGGGTGTAAGTAATTGTGACCCACTTGTATCAAAGGTAAATGATCTCATTGTATATAATCCCACCTAAAAAAAGATAAAAGTTTGGTGTTGTGATAAAATGATGAGGGCGTCGAGTGAGTTTAAGCAAATTTATGAAAACGGAAGTAAACTCGTAAAAGTACAAATCAATTTTGACTGTATCAAATCCCATACATATATTAGTACAAATATAAAACTAGAGGACAAAAAAACGAAAAATTGTCGCACTACTATGTGGGTGTGTGGGCAAGTATATTCCAACTCAGATTTTCACAATTCCCTTCAAAAAGCCAAGGCAAAGCAATGGCAGAAGCATATACTCTGATGGAGGATTTGGGGATGATGTACCCATGCTAACACAATAAAACTACAAAACCCATCATTGGTTACCAGTGATTAGAAATTGGTGCTACTCAGATATGTCGTTAACCATCGAAAATTCGATTTTGCCAATGGGACAGCAAGGTTTAAAGGAACCCTCCCAATCTCCTGGGGAAGAGAAATGCTTTGGCAAATGCACTTAAAAGCCCTGCATGTAGAAACTGGATAGCTCGGCAGAGCATAAGAGAGACCAAGTAACCAGCAACCCCTTTTAGTCCTGAATAAAGACAAAAAAGAGAATATGTTATAAATCACAAACCCAAAATCAGAGAGGCTCGAGATAATGAAGCCAGTCACATGGAAGGACATGGACATAAATGTATAGGCGACACCCAGTTTCCTTTAATTATAGAATTATAGATAACAGAGAAAATCATTTCCCATGACAAGTAGACCTACCAAAATTCCATACGCTGCATTTAAGTAAATGCTTTCCAAATAGAGATATAGAATCATTTCTTCTAGTGTTGTTAAGCACAAGAGACAGTTCAGACAGTGTCCATATCCTAATGCCTTTTATGGGTAGAACCTTTTTCCTTTATTTCAGTTTTCAAGTAGATTCCCACAATCTTGACCCCATCATTTGGACTCCCTCAGCCTCTGGGACCTTCTCGGTCTCCTCTTTCTACCAAAATTTAACGCAGTCTCTCACCTTCCCAATTGCTCCCACCTCAACAGTCGCACAGGTGTGGTCCACATTTGCTTCCCCCAAAATCCAGATCTTCATGTGGCTGGCCCTCTCCCAGAGGGTGCTCACGGTTGATCAACTTCAAAGAAGAGGCATTCCATAACCCAACCAGTGCGTTTTGTGCTTCGCAGATGAGGAAACCAATGCCCACCTGTTCCTGCACTGCCCCTATGCTTTTAACCTGTGGGGGGAACTCCTTCGCCTTTTTAAAATCCAGTGGGTGCTACCTGCCGGTGTACCGTCCATTCTTTCCTCAATACAACCCTTCCCTTGGCCTAAGACAGGGATTTTGCTTCGGAAATCCTCAGTGGCAGCTTCTATTTGGACAATTTGGATTGAGCGTAACAATAGAATATTCCGGGGACAATACTTAGGGTATAACACCCTTGCCCAGCTTAAATCCACAGTCGTGTTTTGGGCGACCAATCAGCAAAGTTTAAAAGGGGTACCCACGTCAGCCTTTTTCCAGGATTGGGCTGCTGTGCTACAGCATAGTTGCATACGCTGACCTCGGGCGTCAAATTGGAAACCTCCTACTCAAGGCCTTCTCAAGCTAAATTTCGACAGGTGCTCCCTTGGAAATCATAGGCCATCGGGTGTAGGAGCAATCCTTACAGACCACCTCAGCACTACAGTGACCTCCATCTCTAAATCCGTCGGCCATGCCGACTCCATGGAGGCGGAGGCGGTAGCACTTTTGGAAGACTAAATCTTGTTCAACTCTCAGGATACAATCCATTATTATTGAGGGAGATTCCAGGAATGTCATTTCTTGGACTGCAAATACTACTTCCCCCCTAGTTCGAGGCTCACTATTTTGATGAGATTGACCACCTTTGCAAGGATATGCACGTATCTTGGAGGCATACATGGAGGGAAGCAAACCAGGCAGCCAACACTCTAGCTAAAGAAGCGGCTTCGCTGGACGGAACTTAGCATGTCTTTTGGGATCAGCGTCTTTTTGTGGGTTTCTTTTGCTATTAATGTAACCTTAAAAAAGAAGGCCTTTTGATTTTGTTCTTTTGTTTTTGTTTTAGAGCTTCCGCTTTGTGGATAGCCTAAGACTCTCTTACTCTGTACTCCTCTTTTTCTAATTAAAGGTTAACATTCTCAAAAAAAAAAAGTAGATTCCCACATTAACCGAATGTGGTACATGAAACTTTGGTTCTCAAGTAATTTTCGAAGTCAATATTAATATCTGACATCTACTTCCTTGTTTACAATACGGAAAAGACATTTTTCTAACATTAAATAAATTTCATTGAATAAAAAAATTAGAAAACTCTGTGTCATATATGCTCAAATCTCTTCACAGAAGTTCAGACCAGCAAGCTATGCATGTGCACAAATGACGTCACCCAAATCTATAATGAGCATACCCCTCATCTCAATCAATGATCCCTATCCTATGTATCTATTAAAAAAATTGATCGCTAAGATGACTTTGAAAGTCCTGCTTTGGCGAAACAGTCCACCCAATCATTACACCCTCCAAGTATGTTAGGACTTAGTTCTACTACTCGAAAATCAGCGATTTCTTCAAATATGTTAATTAGTCTTTAAGGGCATTTGTCCTTTCCACTCAGCCAAGCAATCACAGGAGTTTATCACAGAAGTAAAATCCCCTTCTCAAACACTTAGGATTAAATTTCTACGACCCATTAATAGGACCATGTTGGATTTTTGTGGCCTTCAAGGCCTTGACACCATATTTCTTTATGAGATTTTTATACCAATGGGAGTATGGATCCAAATAGGATCATTGTGATTTGCATGGTCTTTGCGGTTTGGGAATGGTATTTATTACAAAGTTTCAAAAAACGGTCCGCCCGGCGCCTAGGCGCCCAGAAAAAAATTTCCGCATGCCTTGACCTGGGCGCCCCTCCACGGGCGGCTGTACCTGGGCAGGCTAGGCGGGCGCCCAGGGCCCAGTTTTGGGTGGGCGCCTAGAGCAGTTGGCGTTTGTTTTGTATTTAACTTTGCCCACAAGGGCAAAAGGGGCCATTTTTGACGCCCCAAGTTTTTATAAAATAAGTTTTGGGTTATTTTTGAACTCCAAAGTGAAAAAAAACAAAAAACCCTCAATCTTAAACTCATTTCTGAGAATCTTAAGTAATTTCTAAGAATCAAAAGTACCTTTTGTGGATTAAAAAAGTTTTTTTTTTCTCATTGAAATTATTTTTAGGGTGCTATTGGTGGTATTAGAAGATTTTTGACTTGATTCGTAGCTCGATTGAGGTAACCAACATCGAAGATCAGAGATTGGGTAGAAAACGTCAGTCTGTAATTTTTATTTGAGTTTTATTTTTCCAATTTGAGATGTCTTCTGTGGGGTCTACTAAGGATGGAGTTCCCGGATGGAAATATTGTGTTAACCCTGATAAGAATGACAAAAATAAAATTATGTGCAATTTTTTTAGACATGTTTCTAATGTCGGCATAAATAGATTTAAGAAACATGTTGCCGGTATTAGAGGTGATGTTGTCCCATGTAAGAAAGTCCCAGATCTTGTAAAGAAAGAAATTTTGGAATACATTAAAGTTGAAAAGAGTAAAAAAATTGCAAACAAAAAAGAATATAGCAGAATTAAAGTCAAGGATCTATATTTTTTATGATAATATTGACACCGAAGAAGAGGATGAAGATGGGGAAGAAGAGGTAGCCATAGTTGGTACTCAGAGCTCTAAGACCAAGAGAGCTTTTGGGTCTAAGAAGACTCGTACGAAGGGCCTATAGATAGTTTTTTTACATCTAGTCTAGAGACAATAATTGAGAAAAGCAAGGGAGGAAAGGGGAAAAAAACAAGTGACAATTGAAAATAGGTTTAAGAAGGAAGATAGAGCCAGGGTGATTCAGCATATTGCTTGGTGGTTTTACCATGCGGGCATTTCTTTTAACACTGCTCGCTTGAATAGCTTCCATACAATGTTGGAAGCAATTGGGCAATTTGGGCCAGGTTTGAAAGCTCTAACTCCTTATGAGATTGGAGAGCCACTATTGAAGAAAGAAATCAAGTACACTAACGAATATCTCAAGACTCATAAGGAGGGATGGGCTAAATTTGGGGTTTATTTAATGACTGATATGTGGAGTGATAGGAAGAGGAGTAACATGAATTTGTTAGTAAATTGTCCCACGGGTACAGTTTTTTTGCTCAACTGATGCTTCCAATGATGTTCATGATGTGCAGTATATATTTTCTTTCATTGATAAAGGCATTGAGAAGGTTGGGGAGGAACTTGTAATACAAGTGGTCACAGATAATGCTGCTCCCAAGCTAGCTGCAGGTCATTTGCTTCGACAGAAGAGGCTTCTCATATTTTGGACTCCTTGCACTGCACATTGCGTAGTTCTTATGCTTGAGACAATTGGTGAATTGCCTACTATTAAAAGAATTATTTTTAAGGCTAAAGAGGTTACAATCTTTATATACAATCACATACTTACCCTTAGCATGATGCACAAGTTTACAAAAAAGAGAGAGCTAGTGAGGCCTAGGGTCACTAGATTTTCCACTGCCTACCTTAGTCTACAAAGCATGTATAAGAGAAGGATCGCATTAAGGTCTATGTTTGCTTCAGAGGAGTGGAGTAGGTGAAGTGGTCTAGAGATGCCAAGGGAAAGAAGGCACGAGATATTGGTCTTTCGAAATATTTTTGGTATGAGGTGAAGCATGCTATATTAGTATTTCTTCCCTTGGTGAAGGTCTTGCGCTTAGTTGATGCTGATAAGCCCTCCATAGGCTTTATATATGATGCAATGGAAAGGGCTTAGAATGAGATTGCAGAGAATTAGGGCAATGATGCAGCGACGTATGCCCCGATTTGGGTGATTATAGATGACAAATGGGATAGGCAGCTCCATAGACCATTGCATGCAGCGCGGTACTACTTGAATCCCAAATTCTTTTATGCAGATGCAGATATTGAGTCAAAAGGGGTAATTATGGATGGTTTTAATAGGTGCTTAATAAATTAGTTCTTGATCCACATATCCAACATAAGATATCAACTGAAGAGCTAATTTCGTACAAGTGTTCTTTGATGTCATTTGGGAAAGATATGGCATTAAGACAAAGAAACAAAGACGAACCACGAACCAGGTAGTATTCTTTTGACTTTTGTTTTATAAAATATAAATTTATAATTTCTTTCAAGTTCTGATAATGTTAAATACTTAAATTATTTATAAAGGTTGCCCACATATTGCAGCCCAAAGGTGGAGACAACATGGGAGTAGAGCTCCAAACCTCCAAAAGATGGCTATACGGATCTTGAGTTTTACAACTACCTCTTCTGGTTGTGAGCACAATTGAAGTTCGTTTGAGATGGTATTTTACAATTTTACAATTTTAAATGCTTCTTTTGTTTATAAGTTCCTTTGTAATATAGATTCATAAAAGGTAAGAAGATCATAGACTCATAGTAGTTACCTATGCATTATTTTTCCTTATAGGTGCATACAAAGAGAAGAAACAGGCTTGAGCAAAAGAAGCTCAATGACTTGGTTTTTGTCAGAGAGAACCAAA